GGCGTTTGCTGTGCACAAGCTCGGTTATTTGCCGAAAGTCCGTTCGCCGAATTCCAGAAAAATTCAAAATTCAAGAAATCTTGAGAGGAAGACCTCTCCTCCTTCTTTACTTCACAGATCGCCATGTATAACTTCGTCGTTGGGAATTCCTCGAAACCTGCCAAACATTTTTGCCTTCTGTTTATCGCGCGTGCGCGAGCGCGTTTATGCACACACACACACACACACACACACACACAGACACGTTTTACACACAAATACTATTTTCCTCGCGTGCACGAAGAGTAACGATCGCTTTTACCAGATAGACGTAGGAGGCCAAAGGTCGTACAATCTCGCGAAGATGTTTCACGAATGAGCGGCTAGAGCTCTCGACGTTTCGCGAGCGCAAAATCGTTTCAATTTGGAGAACGAGCGGCAGAATGGACGGCCGAAGCGAACGAACGGCGACAGTATTTCCGGATTAAGGCGTAATCCGCGATCACGCAGCGGCGGTCCAATCTGTGCGTGGGTTTTTGCTCGTTATTTATCGGAGTTTGACGCTATTCGCCCGTTCGAATATTCGGTGTCTTGATTTTGCCTAGATATCCCCATGGAATCGCGCTCACGTCGTTCTCGCCCGTCGGACGAAAAATGTTTTCGCTTTACCGCATCGCGCCGAATCACCGCCCGCGGCGGCAACCGATTCGCTCGCGGAAGGGAACCGCGATCTTCGGATTTTCGCGCAGCGGAGAAATCGTGCGCGAAAGTCAGTCGACTCGGTCAATTCCCATCGTAGCGACAAATTATTTTCATCTCCCCAATGAGAACCGTTAGTGCAAAACAAAAATTTTCCAGGATGAAGACTACGAAGGTTTCTTGATCAAAAAGTAACGAGAATTTTTAATTTTCTCGGAAAGTATTTTATTTAATCTTCAATGTTTATCCCGTCTCCTTCAAAGTAGTCCCCCTGTGATATTATACACCAGTGCCAACGTAGTTGCCAGTTTGAGAAACACTGGTGGAAACACGCCTCTTTAGGTATCGTCTTCAGCTGGATCTGCGATTTCGCCTTTGTCTCATCTATTGTTGAAAAACGTTGTCCTTTGAGTGTCCTTTTGAGTTTGGGAAATAGGAAAAAGTCACAGGGGTCATGTCTGGAGAATAAGGTGGTTTTGCGATGCTGTTTTTCTTGAAAATTCAGCAGTTTCGGAACAAATTTTGCTGCCACTCGTTTCATGTTCAAAACATTAGTAAAAATCGCTTCGCATGAGCCGTATGAAAATCCTATTTCTTCAGCAACCTCTCTAATGGTGATTCTTCTATTAGCAAGCACAATCCCTTTAACTTTTTCCACGTTTTCATCACTGGTGGACGTGCTAGGACGCCCAGACTTCGCGTCATCTTCGATGTCTTCTCGGCCTTCCTGAAAGCGTTCGTAACCATTCATAAACTTGTGGTTGTGACATAATATCGTCGCTAAAGGTCTTCTTTAACATTTTGAACGCTTCGCTGCACTTAATTTCGTTCTTAACACAAAATTTCAGACAAGCTCTCTGATCCGATATTTCGCCACACCAAAATCGCCAAACATACTGAAGTACGTCTTGCTGAAGTACGTCTCGCCAACACACAAACTAAGCGTCGCAGCTGCCTGAAAGCTGACGCGTACGTCACTGCTAGTGCTACCAACACACAAGAAAAGAATCAACTGAATAGACAAGATACAGTGCGCGCAATTTCAAAATTCTCGTTACTTTTTTATCAGAGCTTGTTTGTACATCTCTTTTGCGGAATCGCAACTCGAGAAGCCTCGTTATCGAACATTTCCTTGTCGATGCGTTTGTCAAGGCGCGCCCACGACAGCCAAAGAATTAGTTACCTCGACGGATTATAAGTAATCGTCATACAGCCGCGATACGATCACGACGAGTACGATTTCGTGTCGATCCGATCGGTGAAATTCGACCGACGACGATAAAAGCGACTCTGCCCGGCGAAGATTCCGCAGACTGAGAGACGACGCGCGATAGCGCGTCGGGGGAGGGCGAGGGAGGACCACGGCTCGTTTGCGCGTCTTACAATGAGGCGAATTCCGCGCGGGGGTGCGGCGAGCGACGAGCGCGCGCTGCTGTCTCTCCCTCGCGAGTTACGAGCGCGAGTGAACGGCGGCGCGCGAATCCGTAGGATGGACGCAGCACGCGAGATGGCGGCGAGCGCAAACGCAATTACGGCGGCGTTCCTCGCGGAATCAACGCGCGGAAAATATGACAGTTAATCAAACTAATGGCTATTTCTGCCGTCGGTGCTTTTGCGACGCGCGACGGCGCGACTCGCTCGCTCGCTCGCGTCCGTTTCCGGACGGGTGGCGAAATTGAAAATCGCACTTCGCTTGATTACCGAACTAATAATTGACGATCCGGGCGGACGACGCTCGCCGCTGCCGACGAGTACCGACTTTAACCCGATTCTCGTAATTTCCCTGTTTCAACGCGCCGTAAATACGTTCAACTGGACGGACAGACGGACGGGCGGAGCGAGCGAGCGAGATCGACTCGGCGCAAACTACGGCTCGCTCAGTCTCGACTCCGCCGTTCCTTTTTGCCCGGCCTGCCGTAAACTACTCCAATGATAAATATCTAATTATCCAGGAAGAAAAAGCGTGAGCGGCAAGAGCGATTCGTGCGACATGAGGGTGCACAGTAGTGAATAATGCCCCTCATCGTGAACATTAATCTCGCGGATAGCGGCTTGCCTCGATCTCTCGGCTAGGATACTCGCGGAAATGGAAGTGGGGAGTCGGGAATGAATCATAATCTGATATTTTAAGCGATGTGGGGAAATGTTTGATTTGATGGTCCGGCTTGATGGTGCCGTGCCCCTCGCGTGAGTTTGTTTCCATCTCTGTCTCGTGAATATTCCAGTTCACTCCTTCAGGTTGGGAAATAACCTGGAACCTCCTTCAGGTTGTTCCACTTCCTGAAAGCCTCAGCTTGCTGAAGAAGGTGGATGTCCACGAAACGTCGCAAACAAATTCACGATGCAGGCGACACTAAATCGGGCAAATCGATCAATCGTATACTCGATATTCCCCCGCTCGAGGCTCTGCCAGTTTCAGCGTCAATTGCAACACACGATTTTGACCGGGCGAGTCGCAGACCAGCCGAGTTGACCTGTCCATTTTTCTCCGTGATATCCGAAGTAACGTATAATGGATATTCATGAGGGTGGGCCTGAATGACGAAGCGGCGGGCGCGAATATATAGCGGAGTCGCGCTGTATCGAAGCCGAAACTGATTATAGCGGAGACATGTCGGCGCTCTTATCATAGCTGGCGATGTTTACTTTGCGGCTGCTAATCGCGAGCCTGCACGTCGACTTAATCCGCGGACAAAGAGCCCGCACAGAGAGAGAGAGTGAGAGAGAGAGAGAGACACGTGGTACGATGCGGCGGAGCTGCGCGCGCGCGTGCTATAAAACGGAAGCGGCTTGAAATTAATGATTTAGCGTGTATGCACACACACGCACACACACACACACACACACACACACACACCGCGAAATAGCATGAAAGTTTCACGCATTAGCGTATCGATCAGACGCGCGGAAAATTTTATTTATAACGTATAAATTTACGCTTGTCAAATAATGCGTCGTTGCGAAAATACCTGCTTGCTTCATTCCATCCAGCAAATAGACTCATTAAACATTTCTCTGCAATTTGCGCGAGTGCAAATTAAACTGAAATTTATTTTGTTACAATCATGGCGCGCGACTGAAATACGCGGGCCAAATTTGAATATCCATAAAATTGCGCCGTGAATAATGAAACGTTGCAGGCGCCTTCGTCTCTGCGAAAGTATACGCGCCCGCGACATTGACCCATATTCAGAACGTGCTTATAACTATGTTAGTGCGCTGTTAACCAATCAGAAGGCATATTGCGTGGCTTTTCATTGGTTTCATTGGTTAACAGCGAGCTAACATAGTTATAAGCACCTTCTGAATATGGGCCATTAATATTGTCGTTTCCGGGTTGACGTCGTTCGGACACGGTTCGTCCGATCTTTTGTTTCAAAGGGGGAGGAAGAAACGAAGAAAAAATGGTTATGTTTTTCAGAACGTGTTAAGGCCATCGCACACAAAATACATATGCATAGCATAGCTGCATATACCATACGTAGCATAAGGCCATCTCGACCAATGAGCATCTAGCATAGAGTAGCCATATTGATTTACACAACAGTATAAATATAAGCATAACATGTGCATGGCAAACGAAAAATTCCATAAGAACGAAATTTCTATGCATTGAGTCTATGCAAATCCAATCAAATGCCAGATGTATGAATGTCTCACCGAAAGTTCGAGAAGAACACTGTTAACGCAATAAAACTAATATTTACTGTAATAATAAATTGATATTAACATTAAGGATTTACAAATATTACCTGAGCATAATAATAATCCGTTGTTCTGCTGACAATGTTCTCCAATTTTTCTTTTGCAGATGAGGTCGCAATAAGTCTACTAATATATAAAAAGTAGAAACATTCATCCGAGTAAAAGTAAAAACATTATTGCATCTTCTTTTAACTCTTGAAAAAGATGTTTAAAATCACCGAATTGTGGTCGAGCCATATATATCGGTCGTACCTATAATCGTTTTTTATTTTGTTTATTATGTCTACGTTTTAAAATTTTATAACATGCTGATATTACTGCAATATATTGGGTTGTCCGGAAAGTTCGTGCCGATTTTTGGTAGGTGGCGTAAAGACAGGTCTGAATATATCAGAATATATCAGAACGATTGAAAACAAATGACATGCGTACATAACGTAAAAGACGGTACTTCAGGCATATTTGGAAAAAAATTTGGTTACGATGCGTTAATTTTTGTCAGTTTTATACGCCTTTGAATATGGAAGAAAACAAAGTGCATTTTAGGCATTTAATGCTTTTCTTTTACCGGAAAGGCAAAGATACCACACAAGCGGCAAACAAGATATGCGCTGTTTATGGAGATAAGTGCTGTAGCTGAAAGAACTGTGCGGAAGTGGTTTGCTAGGTTTAAAGCTGGTGATTTCAACCTTAAAGATCAAGAACGCCCGGGTAGGCCCTCCACCACAGATGAGGATCAGATTAAAACACTGATCGAGAATAACCCACGCTATACGACACGTAAATTAGCAGAAATGTTAAATATGTCAAAATCCACCATCTACGAGCATTTTGTGAAGCTTGGCTACACAAATCGTTTTGATGTATGGGTTCTCCACGATTTAACGGAGAAAAATCTGATGGATCGCATTTCCATTTGCGACTCGCTCTATAAACGCAACGAGGAGACACCATTTTTGAAGCAAGTAGTGACGGGGGATGAAAAATGGATCATTTATAATAATGTTGAGCAAAAAAGATCTTGGAGAAAGCGGAATGAACCACCTTTAGCCACCCCAAAAGCCGGTCTTCATCCAAAGACGGTCACGCTCTGTGTCTGGTGGGATTGGAAAGGAATCCTGTATTATGAGCTTTTTCCAAACAACGAGACGATAAAAGTTCAGAAAAGTATTGTTCCCAATTAGACGTATTAAAGACAGCAATTGAACAAAAACGTCCAGAAATAGCGAATCGTCGTGTTTCATCAGGACAATGCACGGCCTCATGTGTCTTTGATAACTCGACAAAAGTTGTTGGAGCTCGGTTGGGATGTTCTACCTCATCCATCATATTCACCTCGCGCCCTCTGATTTCTACCTATTTCGATCATTACAAAATTCCCTTAATGGAAAAAACTTCAACTCTTTGGTCGAGATAAAAAATCACGTAGAAAAGTTTTTCGCTGAAAAACCTGAGAGATTCTGGAAGGACGGAATTTTCAAGTTGCCTGAAAGACGGAGAAAGGTTGTAGAACAGAATGGCACTTATATAATTTAATAAATATATACTAAAATTTAAATCTCCTGCGTTTCAATTTTCCTTCAAAATCAGCACGAACTTTCCGGACAACCCAATACATATAATCGTCCGTGTCCATTATTATTAACGAGATTAAGCAAAATCTTTTGGCAATTTCCCCTGGCTATCCACAAATTTCAAATTTGACATATATCATTAATATTTAGATTAGAAGTATATTCTTGATTAATACTTATTGTCCCTCAGTTCTCATTGGTCAAGCTTTATGCTATGCCCATTTGTGTAGGTTGTATATCTTTCTTATGCTTATGTTATGTTATGTTTGTATTCCATGCATTTTGTGTGCGATGGTCTTTATTTCTTGAGGGAAAAAGAGAGAGAGAGAGAGAGAGAGAAAGGGAGGGGAGGGAAAAGGAAAAGAGAACGACGTCGTCAGTCGAACAGTTCGAGTTGACTCACTCGAATGTATTCAGCGATTTATACAATCGTTACGAGACACGTTTCGTCGACTTTTAGGTAGCCCGGGGGGGAGGGAGGAAGACCGTGAGTTTTCCCAGCGTAACTAACCGTTGGCTAAATGGCTGTATTAGTCTCTGTCGATCACACGTGATTAATGGTTGGAAAGTGTGCGTAATAAACGCCAGCGCGGCGAACGTGCGAGAATCTCACTTTCGTAGAGGCGGTCTTGTTATGCATTCTTCACCCTTCACCGAGGAGCGAGTCTCGAAATTGGGCGCAGGAATAGCGATACACTATCGCGTCACGATACTCTCTCTCTCTCTCTCTCTCTCTCTCTCTCTCTCCCCCTCTCCCTCTCGCAATATCACGACAACGTGGACGTGCAAGCAAGCATGCAAAACTTGCGTTCGATGTCCCGATTTATTTCCGCCGAATGTAACGCGCACACATTGTGGTTACATTTGTGGTCGAGTCAATGTTTGAATGTTGCGAAGTCAGAAATATAAGAGTGTACCGCGCTAATCTCGGCGTAACCGAGCACACACATTCCGTCAGGTGAATTTTGTACGAATGTTACGATAATTGAATCTCATGAGAGAAGCGCGCAGTAACTTTGACTGCGAGGAATATTTGCTTCGTCAGTTTCTGCGTGCCATCGACGTTAAATATGAAGAAAGCGCACACATGCTTCCTCTCTTACGTTATTATTGCATGAATCTCGGCATCGCGGCGCCGACGTATCGCGCAGTATATTTTACAAATGTTACATATTATATCGCGATTTCCGCATAGTAACGTTTCAACCAACAAGAAAAGATAAAAGGAAAGAAAAAACGTGCTTGAGATAAGTGTAACATTACATGCGATGAAAATTCGTTTATTTCTTGGTCACGGCAAACAGACGAGCGCGCGCGGGCGCATGCGCCGGGGAGCGTTCTCTGCGAAAAATAATACATATATTTGCCGTCTGCAAATATAATACGCGAAATGAATTCATTTTTCCCCCCTCGCGAAGGCCCCGTAAATTTTCTGATTAAATCCAATTCGCCGGCGCGGCGCGGCGCAGTGCAGTGCAATCTCGGAGTATCTTAATTACGAAGTATAATACGGGTTCGATTTCCCCACCGGCGGTATTTTCTTTCTTCCTTTTCATCGCATCACGTCATCCGCACACGTCGCCTCGCGATTGGAAAAATTCCCAAAAAATGAAAGCTAAACACGAAGGCCGGCGATCGACACGACCGACGCGCGCGCCTCGATCGGCCGGGAAATTATATTCCGCGTGCGCGACTTACTTATCATCCTAATGTGATCGTGTATCGCGAAATTGCTTTGCTCCCCCCCCCTCCCACCCGCTACCCAACTTCTCGGGCCGTACGACTCGCAATGTTATTATAGCGGGTGTACGCGAATTAAATTATACATTTATAAGCGGCGCACTAATTCTGTAAGGTGCACGAGGCTTCAATTCGTAATGTTTAATTAGAAAGTTTGCTCCGTTCAATTCCGTTAAGTATCCCGAAAAGCAAAGTCGACCTGACGTGCGCGCGAGCGAGAGAGAGAGAGAGAGAGAGAGAGAGAGAGAGAGAGAAAGAGTGGTACTTATTATTATACCCCCTGCTCTCTTTCAGAGAGGGAGAAACGATACTCTTTATAGAGATCGAATTATTCATCGCTGTTTCTTTCGCAATTCGTCCCCTGCGAACAGGTGACGGCCGAGTATCGAATGAATCAGCCGATAACCAACGATAAATTTGCATATGATAATGAGACTGAGATTAGTTTTCGCCCGAATACCGTGTGGTTAGGCGGAACGATATTGGCGAATTTAACGTCGAGTTTACATTCGTACGGACGCGCCAGCAGCGCGGCAGTATCGACGGCGATCGCGCGGCAAATACGAACGCGAAGGACACTCGCGGAAACGACACGCGAGCTCGACGACGTGACGAGAATAAGAGAGCGCGAGCTGGCGCTGACTAATTAAAAAACGATGAAAGTAACGCGCGAGTCACCGTTACTTCGCGCTCCGATTATACCGCGGAAAGTTTTAACTACTCGCCGACTGACGACGTTACATATATATATATATATATATATATATATATATATCGTATATATATATCGAGAGAATAAAGTTTAATTAAATCGGATAAAATGAAACAAGCTACGCGCGAAGGACGAGCGCTCGCTGCGACACGCTTCCGAAACTTAAAATATTTGCCGACTCGTGTTTGCTTAATTAAGTTAATTTCGAGGTATTCAGCGGGAGGCGATACAAGCACGGGAGCGAAGTCGGCGCGCGGGTTTCGGTTAAGCGATTCTCAGAATTCCCGTCACCTTCTCCTTGGCAAGTCGTTCGCAAATACGACAAAATATCGATTCCCGAGCTCGTCGCTCCCGGAAGTCGACGAGCATTACACGGCCGATCGCGCAGAGCAAACGGTACGGTGCAACGAGCGCCTGCATACACGACGAATTCGTTCTTCCCTTTCCCCGGCGGGTTTCTTAATCTAAAGAGCCGGGTGAACCTCCCACGTGTGCTCGCGTCGAAAGGTTAGGGGGTGAGGGGGGAGAGTGATAACGGAGAAAGAGCATATTGGGACAGGGCTAAGAACGCGGCACGTTTTCCAGTCGCTCGCCCTTGTTTTCCTCGCTAAGAGAGAGAGAGAGGGAGGGAGGGGGGCGCAATGTTTGGTCCAATTTCTCAGTCGCAAATTCGGTCTCAAATTTCCGCATGCTAAACGCTGCGGTAGAACGTGTCGCGAACTCCTGCAGGTATTCACAGGTGTGACATCGGTGTCAGAGGCGTAACACGGTTGCGCGATCGTGACTTTTCCATTGTCACGCGAGCGTGTGCATCTCTGCCATTTTTCGTAACAGTCATTCGTTCGGTTCACCAAGTGCGTAATCTGGATGGATGCCCCGGGAGGTGAATGTTAATGAAAGTCGCTATTAGTCGCTCCCAACGGCTGTCAGAGACGGAGTGGCTCACTCGGTGGGGTGAGAGTCTGCGGAGTTTGTAATACGTTCGTAATAAAGTCGTACTCGGATCCCGGGGACCGTCCATTTGAAGCGCCTGGCTTGATAATAATATATATAACGTGCAAAAACTTCAGCTTCAGGACGAAAATATGGCAAACGGCGGACACAAGGACGGGCGGCGCGCCGCCGCGCCGCGCCGCCCGTCCTTGTGTCGTCTGTCGAATGAAACTTCAACGACGAAAATATGAGCTCAATGTGCCGGATGTGCGGTAGTACCGTGGGAGAGAAAAGATTTACCGTTACAACTAAGATTCCCTTATCTTAAACTGAGGTAATATCCGCAAATGGCCACTCTCTATGAGCTGAAATTAATTCCGCGAGCAGCTTGGCGATCGCTGCCGCGCGTCATTTGGCAATCGCCGCACGTGCGTGAAATCTACGAGCTTTTAACACTTCATTTCGACCAAGAAGCTACACGTTCGAGGAATCTATTATTGTGCAATAAAGTATCTTAATACTCACTGGTGTACATTCAACATAATAAAATGATGTGAGATAGAAGTTCGATGTTATACTCGTATTACACTGCTGTGCGCATAATGAAAATTAAATTTTTACTAGATACGTAATGAATGTTTGGAATTTTTAATTCGCACATTATGAAAATTTGGGATTTTCATTATGTACACAATGCGAACATTGGATTTCTATCATGCATATTATGAAAGTTTAAAACTTCCACGGTGTTCTCAATTTTTCATAAAAGTTTGAAAAGTTTTCACACCCAAAAAGTTTTCACACCCAAAAACTTTTTCGTAATAATCAACAAAATGAACTATACGAAACAAATATATGTATGCGTAAGTGTTCAAGGACATCCTAGAAAATGTATACTTTAAGCGAATTATAAGAAATGAGCATAATTACTATAATTTAACATAATTCCCCAAAAGAAAAAAAGATTATCGTAATTTACTGTATAATCATCGAAATTCATAATAATTTGTCATCCATCGTTTAAAGCGTATATTTTCGAACTTTACGATTAGTTCCGTCCGGTGAGGTGAAGTTAGAGGGTTAGGTTAGATTACATCTGGTTAACTCTGATTAGGGGATGAACTTCGGATTACGTGGAAATTTGCAAACTTGCGTGAAATAGCACTACAACTACAAATTTAACTTTGCTCGAAATACTCTGGCCGATGTACGGCAAATACTCGAA